TGTCATCGTCGATTCACTCTCGTTGCAATTGGATCCACTCTTTATTGATCTAGCTATGTTGATGTCCAATGCAAGGGAAATAGGCAATTGCTTTCAAGTTCAACCAATTCATTCTCTGTTGCCATTAAAACCTTATACTAGTTCTACTACAATAGTTGCTTCTCACCTTTCATAAACATTCTTTAATTTTGTCAAATTTGGCTACTTTATAGCTGATAGTAGTTAATGATTATATCACAAATATTATCATCCGTTGATCAAACATTTAATCTCTACAAGACACATTCATTGAAAATAATAAACTTCTTGAAGGGCCAATCTTTCAAAAAGTATGTTCCTTAAGAAATAAATCAAGGAAAGCCAAACAATTACAAGATGATTTAGAAAAGGAAAACAACAAAGAAAAGAATAAAAACAAAAACCAGACATTTGAGAAACATTTGGAAAAGAACAACATTTGAATGTTTATTTAATCTGCTATGCTGTGTTGGTTGAGAAACAATTGGGAAATAGCATTTTGAGCACATTAGATGAGCTGTGGTTTGTGAACAAGGCATTTTCTAATTGCTAATAGTAGCAATGGCATACACACTCAGATGAAGATCATAAGGGAGAAAAATCTTGGCACAAAATTGATGTTCAACTTCCATAATGTTCTTACTCCTATTCGATCATTAGATTTGGCACGTTGCAAATTTAAAGCAATTTTACTCTAGACATGTTTTCTGCTCCCTTTCTCCTAATTACTGTTAAATTTGCTTTATTTTCACTCGATATCAAAAGTCACTTTAAATGAGTGAAGATCACTTTCACAAAGCTAAGCTTGCATCTCTTGCACCCTATATATCATTCTTATGATCATCCCCTAAAAATGTATAGCATTTACTCCCAAAAGGTCACAAGTCTTTAGAAATATTGTTGGATAATTGGTTATTATACATGAGCAAAGCTTAATTCTATGATATTTACCCTTATTAATAGCCTTTCTAGGCTCTAACTCTTGCCTAACAATGATAAATGGAAGGAAAAATTAGTTCATGCCAATTGATTGAAAAATCATCAGAATACAACTATATGCTATACAATTTACGTATGTAATTGTTTTGAGCATGATCTCATTGACGAATTTGACATGAACTACATGACTTAATCAATACTTTCACCCTTTTTGGGTGTAATAATAGACTACGTCAATCTTTCACAATTGCCCATGTGAATAATAAAGTAGCTTATTAACATGCAAGTTGTTAAGAAGTGCGCAAATAATTAGTAAAGTAAACAGGATAAAACAATTTGGAAATTATAGAGAAGTTAGAGAAAGTGATAAAGGATGACATAATAAATTTAACGTAGGAAAACCCCTAATTTGAGGGATGAGAAAGCCATGAGCAACGAGTGAGTAATTTCAGTATAGAAAGTAGGAATTACAATAATTGTCTCTTCTATGGGAGATGGAAAGACAAGATAAATATAGAGCTTCTCATCAACTAAAAATATTATCTTGGATAATAATAAATATCTCTTAAAATATCAAATAGAGATATGATAGATTTACACTAAGATAATATATAAAAATAATCACAAAGGATTATAAAGATTTGAGTTATAATTTTAATAAACTTTCCCTTGACTCAAATTTAGTAATGCTTGTAATTGTCAAGTAGCCCTAAAGGGCAATCAAGTGCTGCAAATACCAACTACGTCCAACTAATGCTTGAACTTAATATCAGGAAAAGGCTTCGTAAGCATGTCTACTAGATTTTGAGAAGTATGGATTTCCTTCACAACAATTTCCCCAATTGCAATAATATCTATAATAAAGTGATGTCCGATGTCTATGTGCTTAGTTTTCAAGTGATACCTGTCATTCTCAATCAAATGAACATTACTCTTATTATTATAGAAAACATTAATAACTCCTTGGGCCATATCAAGTTCAATAACAAGACCTCGTAGCCAAAGAACTTCCTTTAAACCCTTGGTAGTTGCTATATACTCTGCTTTAGTTAAGGATAATTCAATTGGAGAGATGCTCTCTAGCTAATATAAGAGCCACAAAGGGTGAAAATATAAGTAGAAAGAGACTTTTGTCAATCAAAATCACGACCATGATTAGAGTCAGTAAAACCAATAACATTATTAGATATAGCCTTATTCCTTCCAAATACTAGACGAACATTAGAAGCACCTTTCAAATAATGAAAGATCCACTTACTAGTATCCCAATGACCCTCTTCAAGATTGTGTATGTACCTGCTTACTACACTTATTGCATATGCAAGATCAAGTCTAGTACATACCATTACATATATAAGATTACCAACAACACTTGAATAAGGAACTTTTGACATTTTCGTAATATGCTTTTCTAATTCTGGGCAAAGATTATCATATAATTGAAAATGAGCAGCAAGAGGAGTAGACACAAGCTCACACTCACTCATATTAACTCAATCAAGTATCTTCAAAATATATTTCTTTTGAGATACAAATAATTTACAAACTTGACAATCTCTATGAATTTGCATGCCAAGATTTTTTTTTACTGCACCAAGGACCTTCATATCAAACTCCTTACTGAGTTGTTGTTTTAATTTTTTAATCAAAGATTTTTCTTTAGAAGCAATAAACATATCATCGACATAAAGCAATAAATATAGAAAGGACTCTTGGGAAAATTATTTAAAATAAACACAATTATCATATTTGCTTTTGTTGAAGCCTTACCTAATCATAAAATCATCAAACCTTTTATAACACTACCTAAGAGCTTGTTTTAGGCCATATAAAGATTTCTTCAAGTAATAAATGCAATGTTCCTTTTAGGGAACCACAAATCCCTTAGTTTGCTTCATGTAGATTTCTTTATTGAGTTCTCTATGGAAAAATATTGTTTTAACATCAAGTTGCTTTAGCTTCAAATCAAACAAAGTAACAAATGCAAGTAGCACACAAATGGAGATGTCACAAACAACTAGAGAGAAAATCTCATTAAAATCAATACCTTCAAAGACATCCTCGAACAACTAACTGTGCCTTCTACCTTGCATCCTCAACCTCAAGGATACCATATTTCTTTTTATATATCCACTTACAGCTTAAAGCTCGCTTGCCTTTAGGAAGTTTACATAAGTCTCAAGTACCATGCTTGTAGAGACTCTCAATTTATTCATTCATAGCTAATAACCACTTAGATGAATTAGCACAAGAAATAACTTTAGAATAACTAGAAGGCTCAATACCTTTAGGGATCTCTTGTGCAATAGAAAATGCATAAGCAATTAACCCATCATCAGTATATTGAGTAGGCCTTTTAATATCCCTTTTTGGACGATCTCGAGTAGTAGAATATTCCTTCTCTTGATAGATAGTAGGAGTGGTACTTGTAACATCATTGTATATTTGATTATTACATCCTCCATCAAAGGAAGATTTCATAATAGAGGAAAGAGTAAAAGCTTTCACTTCTAACTCTACCTTTTCACTGGTACTCTACTCATTACTTATACCAATAGAAGGAGAAACACTATAAATTTTCTCAGAAGAAAATAATGCATCTTCATTAAATGTAACATCTGTAGTAACAATAACTTTCTTTCCATTAGAGTCAGAACACCATAACCAATATCCGTTAGATTTAGATGCATATCTAAGAAATATACATTTTCTAGCTTTTGGAGCTAATTTACTATCATTAACATGTACAAATGTAGGCCACCTAAAAATTCTGAAATTAGAATGATTAATGGGTTACCTGACTAAATTTCCTTTGGAACTTAGAGACCAAGTGATGTATGAGGTGAACGATTGACCAAATAACATGTAGTGGAAGTAACTTCAGCCCATAAATCATGTTCATGCCATAACCCAGCATTAGAGAGTATATAACGTGCTTTCTCAAGTAAAGTTTTGTTAATACATTCTGCAAGGCCATTTTGTTGGGGCATTCCTATAAGTGTCTTATGTCTAGCAATGCCATTATTATCACAGAACTTATTAAAATCATTTTCACAAACCCATTGTTTGTTCTCAACTCTTTAACCTTTTTCCTTATTTGATTCTCAATTTTCCACTTTTGAAAATAATAGAAAGTTTCATTTTTACGCTTGAGAAAATAAACCCAAGCTTTGTGAGAATAGTCATTAATAATAGTTATCATGTAATAACGTCCTCCAATAAAAATATATTTTGAAGGTCCCTATAGATTGAAATGTACATAGTTAAGAACACCTTTAGTGTTATGAGTTGTAATAGAGAAACTAACTCTTTTTTGTTTCTAAAAAACACAATGTTTGTAAAACCCCAAATACTAATACTTTGACCACACAAAAGACCTTTCTTACTCAAAATATTCATAACTTTCTCACTCATATGACCCAATTGCATGTGCCATAATCGGATAGTGTGAGAATCATCAAGCATGGATGTTGAAATAGCCATTAAACCCGTAATAGTAGAACTTTACAAGACAAAAAGAGTATCATGATGATTACCTTTCATATAAATGAGAGAACATTTAGAAACTTTAAGAACTCTGCATTCAGTCAAATACTTATAATCTTGAGATTCAAGAGTACTTAAAGAGATTAACTTCCTTTTTACTTTAGGAACATAACGAACATCAAAAAGAGTTTTAATAATATCATCATGAGTCTTGATCTGCACTGTATCGATTCTTAGAATCTTAAATTCATTATCATCACCCATTAAAATAATACCACGGTCAACAGGTTCAAGAGTAGTAAATTGTTCTTCATCAGGATATATATATATATATATATATATGAAAAGTGCAAGCAGAATCAAGAATCCAATCAATTCTATTCCTCCTATCAATAGAGGAAATAAATAACAAAATATCACCATCTGACCCCATCTCAATAACACTAGTTTTAGCAGATGATTTTTGAGGTTGCTTATTTTGTTCTTTTCTTTCACGCTTCTTTTTAAGGCCATAACATTGAGATATCTCATGATTTAACTTCTTGCAATAATTGCAGGTTTATCATTATTGTTGGATTTATGTCTCCTGGACTTAGATCTAGATTTTTTGGTACTTCCCTTTTCATCACTTCTACCTCATATATAAACCTTCACCTTTGTTCTTAGAATAAACTTCAAGATCAAATTTTTTTTTGGACAATAAATTAGATTTTACATCTTTAAAGGCTAAGGTATCTGAATTTTTATAGAGCAAAATTTCTTTGAAGTATTTATAAGGAGGAGGCAATGAGAGAACCAACAAAATAGCTTTATCCTCATCTTAATTTTGACATCAATATTTTTTAAATCTATAATAATGGAATTAAATTTATCAAGATGAGATTGAATAGGAGTATCTTCAACCATACGAATGGTATATAGCCGTTCTTTGAGAACGAAGCTTAATTGCTAAACTTTTCATTATATAAAGAGATTCCAGCTTCAACCACAATGTAGCCGCACTGAAATCATTAACTATTTCTCATAAAACTTTCTTAGATAGACATAGTTGAATAGCCAAAAGAGCTTTTTCATCTGACTTTTCAAATTGCTTATCAGACATAGTCACTTGCTTTTTATCCTTTCCAGGTGAAGCTTTCTTAAACCTATTTTGAGAAAGAACAACTTTTGTCTGAACTTGCCAAACAGAAAAACTAATCTTGTCATCAAAATTTTCAATGTCAAACTTTGTAATAGTAACCATCATGAAAAATTTTCAATTGAGAACCAAGTTTTGATACCACTTGTTAGAAATAAGGAGTAACTGCCTGAGAACAGGAGGAGACAAGCAAAAGTAGTGGAAGGATGCCACATCTTAACTTAAAATCTCAAGGCTTAATTTTATAGGTCCTTCTTCTTTATTATATATTAGTTATTAAGCCTAACTTTATCTGATGTGGGATTTTCTATATCGTCTTTAGTCCACTCACACTTGTATAACTAAAAAAATAAGGGATTACTTACAAGTATCTAGATCTGTTCTTGATTATTGTTGAAATGATGCCTACAATCATGCTAAAATCGAACTGATTCCATAAGAGCTAGATGTGCTGGTTGTGCATTCTCTTTAAAAGTTTTTTCAAACACTATTTTGAAAGGTCTTTCTTCAAGATAAGACTACCACTTTGAAGACTGATCAAAGTATTTACTAAAATAGTATAAAGACTTTTTATCATCAAACCCATAATGTGGAAAAAGTTTTTTCATCCAAAATAAATCTTAAGCTCCTTTTCAAAAGGAGAATCATTCTTTACTTGTCCAAAAAAAGGGACAAAAAAATTAATTGCCTCACCTAAGAAAAATTTTAAAAATATATGTTTAAACAAGAAAAAACATATTAAACATTTTCAATTAAGAATCAGGCTCTGATACAACTTGTTAGAAATAGGGAGCAACTGATGGGAGGAAAGGTAGCCATAAAATCAAGAATGATTAATGAATATCAATAAGTTTATAAATGAGTTTCAAAAGCCAGCCCTTTTCTAGTATTTTTTAAAAATTATTTTCTATTTTAAGGACAAAATTAAGTCTTCCTAATAAAAAAAAAGAGATTACTTACAGGTATCTTGTAACATCCCAAAATTTTAAGATTCGAATTTATTTAAAAAAATAAAATAAAATATCTATAATTAAATTAGAATTTAGAATAATTTGATAGAAGTCCAGAGTTTGAATTTTACTAAGCAAAAGTGGGGTTTTATTTTATTTTTAACTATGAAAAAATTACCAAAGTCGACCCGGACTTTTGTGCTATAATAAAAAAATGTTGGACCCTTTCTTGTAATTTTTTCCAAAGTCTTATATCAGCATTTTAAAGGGAAAACAGACGTAGAAATGCAGAAATGAAATAAGGAAAAGAATAAAGAACGCACAAGAGAGAGAGAGAGAGAGAGAGAGAAGAGAGGAAAAAGAGAGAGAGTTAGGCTTACATCTAGGAGGCTTTATGACCGTTTTGAACTCGGCTACATAATAGATAAACTCCCTACTTCAATCTTCTTCCTTCTATCTTGATTTTCTTAAATTTTTGGAAGAGATAATTTTTAGATTTTAATTCCAAAGGCTTTATTCTTGTAAGCTTTTGTTTCTTTGGATCCTAGGGAGGATGTTTTGAGTTTCTATATAGTGATCTAATATTTTGAGTGGATAATTGGATGAAAAGAGGTGTTTTGGGCATAAATTAAACCCTGAGAGATTGGGTTTTTCTCCTCAATGGTTTAAGCCTATTGATTTAGTTATAATTTTGCTATTTAAGCCCAATAAGATTTAAGTTAAGGTTTGGTTTTCATTATAAGGGCTAATGGTGAAAGTTGGTGACACTAAGTGAAGGTTTTTAATTGATTAAAAATTATATAAATTGGAAATTAGCCCAGTGAGGCTAATAAATGGTGTTGGTGGTTAAGTAGTATTATGTGAATGGTTGGTTTAATATATGGACCATTAAGATGGATTATGACTCATTGAGTCAAGATGTGTGGTATGAGTTATAGTCTTTATTAATGCTATTTGTCACGATAAGTGATGTAGATAACTTATATGTTGTAGGGATTGTTGGTGAAATTTGTTCGGAAGTTAAGGAACAAGCCGAGTCCTATTTTGTATAAGAGGAACCCTTCTTGTACCAAAGGATTGAGGTAATAAAGAAATTTATATTTTTTATAACTTTGTTTTAGATATTTTTGAATAAATATTACTAGCTATCATGCATTACATGTTTTAAAAAATTAAATGTGCTTTATAAGAGGTTATGGGGTACTACTTTGATTATAGTGCAAATTTGTTTTTTTAATCTTTTAACAACAATGTTTTTATGAAAATGGGATTTGTTTACATGTATTATAATCATAAGGAATAAAAGTTGCACTTAAGGAAGTGTAACTAAGGAAGGTACCTTAGATAGGCTAAGGAACCGTTTAAGGAAGATTTATAAATGTTATACTACCTTAGAGTGTTGAAGTGGTCAATACTCGGGAAAGGTAGAAACAAATAAAAGGCATGATCTCGGTGGGAGTTCACGAATGAGAAGGTGTAGAATTTTAATATTCTATAGTACACTATTAGTACTCACTGTTGCCTTACGTATTATGGGCTCAGTGCACTAAAGTGGTTAGTGTATTGAGTGTTCGACACTTCTCAATAGGGGAGGGAATCTGACATATGAACTGTGAGGTTGAGTGCCTAGGCCAAGGTAACTTTCACATGGAGAGTAAGTCGGGCTGGCTCTGGGAGGGAGTTAGATTTGACTGCTTAGGATTCGCGTTAAAGGGGCATAGACGATTCGGTGGATTAGATCATGCCTTAGATTATGTTTTGTGCCTATGGAGGTACAAGTGAGTATAAGGTTTACCTGCTAGTTAAAGAGTGCCAAGGTGCATTTTGTTGGTCATGAAAGGCCATATCGGCCTATGTCATGCATTCGTGCATTTTAAATGGCTAAATTATATACTATGTTGAATTTATTAGTCGTTTATTCGATTATGGCTTACTTTGTAATAATCAATGTGGATTTCTCTGTTACTGAGACTGTGGTTGTCTTACCCCTTTCTTTTCAATATTTTCAGGTCCAGGTGAAAGAACCAGTAGAGGATGGGGAAAGGAGCAGAGTTAGGGGTTGTTTATGAATTGTAAAGAACTGCAACCCCGTTCTTTTAAGCAAATTTATTGTAATGTATTTAGAATTAGGGTGTCAGTAGGATATGATTATGTATATGCGTGTGAGTATATGTGAATTGTATGGCTTGTGCATGAATTTTTGTTTGCTTGTAGACTTGTGGCTAGGAAACTTGGCTATGGTATGTGGTTTTGATAGATTTATTTAGTAGACCAAGTTTCCACTAGAAACAAATATTTATTTTGGTATATATGTGATTCTACAAGCAAATGCAAAGTGGTTGCATTGCAAATGGTGTGCTATGGGGAAACATATACCTTGGATAAAGACAGTGGGTCCGTAGGCCCTACAAAGATCTTTGAGCCAAGTGGAAATTTTGAGTGTGTGTGTATTCATATGTGTATATGATATTTGGAATAGTTTTTGGCTACTCTTATGTGATTTGTGCATTTTGGGAGTTTAGGGTCCATTTTGGGAAATGACACCTAGGTGATCAAATTTTGGTATAAAGTGTTTTTCTATCATTTAAATGTTTTATTAGGTGTTTTTAGTCCTATTTGACATGTTCAAAGTGTTTCCACAAGTTTGTAGCCATTAGGATGAGATTTGGTCAATTTTAAAAATAGTTTTTATCAAAAAACTGCACTTTTGCTTCCGGGTGTCCAAATCTTAATCTGACCATTGGATTTCTCTAAAATTTAGGTTACAAGTAAATCCTTTTATAAGCTTCATGCGGGCTTTGAAATCATGTCCATCGGATATCGGAAAGAGAAATGGCGCACTCTGGAATTTGGTTTGGAGGAGCTGTCAAGACAACACTTTAGCTGTCATGATAGCAACATTGATGATGTTGCAACATGCATGAAATTCAATCCGTTCGTTGGATCTTTCTAAAATTTGGTATGCTAATTTTACTATTTAAAAGTGACATATGAGCTTTGGAATTACTCTGATCGGAGGTCGGATGATGAAATGGTGCAACCTGGAAATTAGTTTGAAGGTGCTGTCATGATAGCTTTTTAGCTGTCATAATAGCAAAAATGATCAAAATTTTAACATGTCTAATTTTTAATCCGACCGTTGGATTTTTTTAAAAATTTGGCACACTTATAGTACCTTTTAAATGTGACGTGGGAGCTTTAAAATTTCTTCGATCGGGAATCGGATGACAGAACAATACCTCCCTGAAGTTGGCCCGAGAGGGCTGTCATGACAGTATTTTTTTTACCTCGCTTTTGCCTAACTTGCTTCCGTGTGCTATAGATAAAACCTATTAATTTTTTTTATTTAAAAAAGGTTTTAAATGTTTACTTTGTAATCGTGTATTTACTTAGTAATTTAAATGGTTTGTTTCCTAAGTTAGTTTTAGGATTAACTCCTTAACCACACTTAGTTTATTTGAATTGTGTGATTTTTGGATAACACTTGGGGCAAGTGTTACATATCTAGTTCTATTCTTGATTATTATTGAAATGATGCCTACAATTACACTAAAATTGAACTGATTCCATAAGAGCTAGATGTGCCGGTTGTGCATTCTCTCCAAAAGTTTTTTCAAACACTTTTTTGAAAGGTCCTTCTTAAAGATAAGGCCATTACTTATAAGTATGTAGTTCAAGTTTACGGGTCCTTTCTCTTTATTATATATATTAGTTATTAAGCTCAATTTTATTTGATGTGGGACTTCCCATATCGTCTTTAGTCTATTCACACTTGCACAACCAAACAAAAAAAATAAGGCATTACTTATAAGTATGTAGTTCTATTCTTAATTATTGTTGAAATGATGCCTACAATCAAGAATGATTAATGAATATCTAACAATCTCCCCCTCAAGTGTTAGAGGATGAAGTAGAACCAGAAGAAGTTAGGGCATTGGCATTTGCTAGAGGGGGACCAATTCCCATTACATGAAAATCTAAAATACACAAACAAAGCAGTATATTAATCCTTTAGTAAACACAAACAGTCGTATTATACCTTATAGATCGTGAAGGAAAAAAAAAGAACTCTTACCTCGTAATGCAACCAATCTCTCTCTTAGTGGTCTATGTGAAAGAAAATTAGTGTAAGCAAGTATCATGAAAATAAGAAAAAGCTTGAACTTAGGAGTGACAAATTACTTAAGTTTAGATTTGTCAAGTCTAATGAACTAACATATAGCTTCAAAGTCATGTTTGCATATGTCTAATGTCTCGTCTAGTTCTATTTCAATCGCTTCAACATTTTTCTAGAATTGAGATAAAATAAGTGGTAGCCATAAAATCAAGAATAATTAATAAATATCAATAAGTTCATAAATGAGTTTCAAAAACCATCCCTTTTCTGGTTATTTTAAAAAAAATATTTGCTATTTTAAGGACAAAATTAGGTCTTTGCAATAAAAAAAGGGATTATTTAGAGATATCTAGTTCTATTCTTGATTATTGTTGAAATGATGCCTATAATTACGCCAAAATCAAACTGATTCTATAAGAGCCAAATGTGCCAGTTGTGCACTCTCTCCAAAAGTTTTTTCAAACATGTTTTTGAAAGGTCATTCTTCAAGATAAGACCACCACTTTCAAGAGTGATCAAAGTATTTATCAAAAATGTACAAAAACTTTTTATCATTAAACTCATAACATGAAAAAAGCTTCTCTGTCTAAAATAAATCATAAGATTTTTCTAAAAAGAAGAATCGTTCTTTACTTGTCCAAAAAAGGGGATGACAAAGCTAATTGTCTCCTATTTGCAAAAATTAAAAAGAAATACATTTAAACAAGAAAAAACATATTAAAAAGACAAGAACACAAGAAGAATAAGTTAAAAACAAGGATAAATTCTTACGATCGCACATGAGCAGTTCCAATTCTATTGTGCCTAAGCCCTCATAAAAGTTTAAATCCAAAGTATTATCAGTTTATCAAATACTTTAGGAGGAGATTTCTTTAGCATATCTAAAATCATCTGATGCAAGATCCTTACATCATTTTCTTTGTTCTCTCTATGTTTTGTAGAAAAAAGAAACAAAAACATTAACTAAAAAGAAATAGAGCTAATTGAAATAAAAAAATAGATATTGAATATTATGTATCAAAATATTTCATATTATAAAATTTTCCTTCACCATTCACAATTGCTATGCCATCTACCCAATTACCATGAAAAAAGTTAAGGTAAAATTTTTCCAATGACTTGAAAAAATCTCTACAAGGAAAACATGAGAATAAAAAATAGAAAGAATACAAAAGTAATGAATGACATATACAAATGGCCATACTAACCTGAGTAAGTTTTCAAACAAAATTTGATATATTCAAACCATCTCTCTAAGTCTCCACTATAGCTTTGATATAAGGAGGAGTATCAAACTTTAAAATTTAATTTTATCTCCTTCAAGATAACAAAGCACCCATCTATGAGAAACACTGTGATGGCAACTTTAGGAAAAGCATTTGATATATACCACTGGTATTGAGCAATATTACTCTCTAATGCATCTAAAATACTGTAATTGATTTTTTTCTCTGAAGGAATTATTTCCAATGTATATCCTATATACACCCCATATTGGACTTTCATTTTACAAATCCTATATTCAAAATTGGATTTTATTTTCTAAGGAAAAAGAGAAAATATTTGAGAATATAAAAAAAATGCAATTAAATTTAGAATTCAAAGGCTAAGAAATATTTTTTTAAAAAAAGTTAACATCTATAATGAAAGTTTACTTGAATGTTACCAAACTTAGAATTCAAAATTTCAGATTTTATGATTCAATGATAGGATAAAAATTTGATAAACAACTTGGTTGTTTATATAATACTAGACAAAGTTGAGACTCCTATCTAAAAAGAAGTCTTGAATTTGAAAATCAAACATCAAAGGATATTTGGAATTCAAATATAATCTTTTCACCAGATTAATTATTTGGAACATAATGTGTTGCATAATAATCACATGGAAGGGAAGAGAGGGAAAAGGAGAATAGGACAAAGAGAAAGAAATGAAACAGAGACAAAGAGAAAGGCCTAGTTCTATTATTCTAAAAACATTTACAATAACCTCTTATGTGTAATCATAATAAATAGAGAAATAGGTTGTTAAGTGAGTCAGTTAGCAGTTGACATTTAGTTGTTAGTCATTTTAGATAGCCTTAGAGTCTAACTCTCTCCTACATAAAGGCTCCATGATGGTACTTAGTCTCTTATGCTTTATGAAATTTTCTTAAGTATTATTCCGAAACCTCTTCTCTATCTCTCAAATCTTTCTCTCTTCTCTGTCTCTCTCCTATGGGATCCCACTTTTAAGGGTAAAAATCTCCATTGCTTAAATTTTAATTTTTTGCCATCCAAGAACAGCTCTTTAATCTCTATTCCTTCAATTTTAAGGACTAGGTCTTCACGAAGCTTTAAGACACTGAGTCCAAACGAAGTTAAAGAATTAAGAGCCAATAATCTTTGCTTCTACTACCATCAACCCTTCTTTAAGGACCACGTGTGCTCAGATGCACAAAATACAATTACAACTTATTGAACTTGATGAAGAAATTGCAGAAAAAGATGACAATGACATGGGTCAAGATTTTAAAGTCCCTAATAAGTCTGAAAGCATACTAACATAGTCAAAATGTCTTCAAATTTCCCTTCATGTGATTCAAGAAAGTCATAGAACTTCGACTATGAGAATTCAAGGCCATGTGGGAAGAAGATAGATTCAAATCCTTGTAAACAACAGGGCTTCTCATGTTTATATTGAAATGGCTATGGCTAAGAAGCTGGGTTGGAAGGAAAACACTTGCCCCATAGCTGAAGTGGAAGTTGCAAGGGTGGGAAAACTAAATTTTTTTGGTGTTTTAATTGGAATGCAAGGTGAAGATTTTGAAAGAGATTTCTAAATTTTGAAAGTCTATATTTATATGGTTCCAGGGTTATCATGGCTCAAAACCATTAATCAAGCCTACTGGGACTTTGATGACTTGTCCATGACTTTTTGGTATGATAGGAAGCCTTCTTACAACCTCAAGAAACATGAAAATATAAAATTATAGATTTTACGAAGATTTAAGGGGATTGAAAGGCTGGAGGGTAGATGTTTATGACAAAAAGTGGGAGGAAAAATATTCTTATTTATGATTATTCTAATTACAAAGGATTATAGGATATTTACAAGAATATAACAGAGTAAAATACTATCTTTTCCTTTAACTATCAACTAATATTTACCCACTAAGGATAAACAATATTTTAACAGTTTATGTTGCATCTCTTAGGAAATGGTAATGAAGGGCTTCATTGCTTGCAAGTACAAGGAGAAGAGGGTTCTGCAGCAACTATTTAAGGGCTATTGCCAGACATTTTTAAGGAGCCTAAGTATTAGTTTGTAAGGTT